GCTGTGTTTTTCGTTGTGAAAGCGAATCTACTTTGTTTGGCCTTCCAAAAGAGGACACGACTACAAATCAGTGGTTAAGTTGTATTTACAATACTGTTCCAGAACAGTTTAACCCAAATATCCAGATGTGTGCAGCGCATTTTATGGAGGACTGTTTACTGATCCTGGGAGAGTAACGTTAGACTAAAATGTCGGCAGTTCTGACTCACATAAGTACGTTTTCATTTAAAGGATTTGCCACTGATGATTCAAACGCGAGTTTTGGGCAGTAGAGTAGCACTTGTTGTTTGTCATTTCTCTGATCACAAATGCAGACAGAGTTTTATGTTTACGCGGCGCGATGCAACGCAACGCGTAAAAAGACAGTACAAGTCATTATAATCAGTAATTATGTCCCCACTGGATGCAACAAATGCCTCGTTTGTAATGGTTTTTAATGTTTATGTCTCATCGCTCCGGCCGGGTCACGGCATCAACAGTATGGTGAGGGGCGTAACATTTCTGTCTCACGCTTGAGGTATTCGGCCAATCACGACGCATTGGATACCTGGCCAATCACAGCACACCTCGTTTTTTCAGACCGATGAGGTTTGTAAAAATTGACGCGTTTCAAACAGGAGGGGCATAGAAGGGAGAAAAAATTATGAACAGTATGTGTAAAATAATGTGTTTTTTTTACTTTAAACCACAAACATTTCATTACACCAAATAATGTTCTTTTTAGCAGCATCATATGACCCCTTTAATATTTCCTTGTACTGTCCATGCTGTCATTATTGCATTTCAATCTTCAAATTTTACAGTCAAATTGGGAACACAAACTGGGTGGTCCTGGAACAGAGCCAGTTTTGGATGAAATGCATGAATTTGCATATGCTGAATGCAGTGCGTTAAGACTTGAGCTATAACATGCAACACAACAAACTGACACTTCGTTAAGCTCCATCATTTCTTATAACAACCGCTGCCATTTTACAAATCACATATGGGATTTCATTTGCACTTCAAAGTCAAAAGCAAGGAATTTCTTCCCCCAAGAGAAGCGGATCTGTGGCACAGATAAATAATGCAACGTAAGCCTACATTGTCTCCCCTATGTGTTGTCAGCAAAATCACTGCAACCTCGTTACCCGGACTGAACCACAAACCGGGTCAAATGGGTAGGGTCTAGTGTGCTGGAGGCGATCCACTCACACTCTTGATCTACAACAAACATGCACCTGATGATACACAAGTCAATGACGAATAATTGTCACCTGCGATTCCATTCATACAGGAAAAATTAACTGAACTTGCACTCAAAAACATGTTGTGACTCCTATAAATTTCAGGTGGTCAATTCGATTTCATAACCAAACCATATATGAAAAGAACATATTTAGCACTCCAAATAGGACCAACAAGTGTATTCTGCTGCAGTGTAAAGGTAGCGGGTGTGTCTGTCCCATCAGCCTGAGGAACCCATTTCATCCACTTCCAGTTGAGCCAGAGCACTTGAATGTAGCTCTGGAGTCATACTTGGGTTGAGTTCATTTCTACCCTATGAAGTACTAAGACCGGGACACATGAAGCAAGCTGCACTCTGGACCAGTTTAATTACACAATGTTACATCATGTACAGTTTGTGTTCCTGTTGCCAAGCACTCTGCTTAAACCCACGATGAAGAGTGAATAAAAGAGGTTTCGAAAACCAAAACAGACACCGAGTAATTCACTTGGTTAAGAAATGAACCTGAAATGCTGAGAAAGTATTTAGAAGATTATGACTCAAAAATCAATAGAATACTAATGTTTAAGAGATTCATAATCATTTTATAATACTGCAACTTTGCATTAAGAAAAATAAATAAAAAGAATAATAATTTAATGTATCATTGTCCCATATCCAAATGCAGTCTGTAAAATCAATACGAAATAACAAACTGAGCTTATATACTCTATTATATATCATTGTAGCCTTCATAAAATCTTGCCAATAGTGCAAACACGGTAATTTAATACCAGTTAAGATTAGTGTCACAAGAGTTAAGTGACAATCCAAAACTGCAGGCTTCGAATACACAACAGCTTCAAATGAAAAGCATCATGATCCTTCCTATAATGAACTTCTCTGTTCATTTCCAAAGCTTTCTAACAGCATTTTTAGCCTAAAATTGGAGAACCATTAAGAGTTTGCCAAACATCCATCTATCCTCAAATATTCAGCAGTATTTTTCCATTCCCCGGTTTGCAATATTTCCTCAAACTACATTGGCACATGGAATGAGCTACTCAAATCTGGCTTGAGCCCTCAGTCAACATATCCTGCACTTTATGAAGCATGGAATCTTGCTTTCCCTTTGACCTACATTCCCTCTAATATAGTTACAATACAGATTATATGGTTCCTGTCTGCCAAAAGTGTAAATATATGTTACCGTGGAGATGTCTGACAAGAAGAAAACATAAAAACATAAAACCTCATTACTGCAACTAGCACAACAAAAGAAGGAGGCATGTGGTGTCATTGTATCTGTCAAGGTTACAAAGCCATTGCATTTGACCAACACTCGTACACATCCGTATCCACTCCAGGTAAAGGACATTGAGGCACAGAGGTACAGAGAACCCCAATGTACTATCTACTATATCCTGATTAATCATACTAAGCACACAGTGAGAGAAATCTTTTACCATTGATAAACTACAGCCTTCACACTAAATGTGAGGACTGAATTATACTGCCCTCTTGTGGTAGATTAGTGTTAACCAAATAATGTTTGGCTTTAGAGTTATGATTCTAATTATATCAATATTTTGATTGGATGGATGGATGGATGGATGGATGCAAAGATAAATAGATAAGAATAATAGATCGACAGACAGACAAATCGATCGATAGACAGTTGAATGACACGGACAGAGTTATGATTCTAATTATATCAATATTTTGATTGGATGGATGGATGGATGGATGCAAAGATAAATAGATAAGAATAATAGATCGACAGACAGACAAATCGATCGATAGACAGTTGAATGACACGGACGGATGGATGGATAGATGGATAGATAGATGGATAGATAGACAGATGGATATATAGATAGATAGACGGATGGATAGATGGATGGATGGATAGATAGATAGATGATAGATGGATGGATGGATGGATGGATGGAAAGATAGATGGATGGATGGATAGCTGGATAGATAGATGGATAGATAGATGGATGGATAGACGGATGGATAGATGGATGGATGGATGGATAGATAGATAGATGGATGGATAGATGGATGGATGGATGGATGGATAGATAGACGGATGGATAGATGGATAGATAGACGGATGGATAGATGGATGGATGGATGGATGGATAGACGGATGGATAGATAGATGGATGGATGGATGGGCGTTATTTGAGCAGACTTTGCTTCTCCGATGAGCAAGAGCGGTACACGAGCGGAACGCACATTCATAGAACGTAATATTGAGCGGCGGGTCAAACCGCGCAGTGATGAGGAGGGATATCCATAGGTGGATGGATGGATGGATAGATGGATAGACTGATGGATGGATGGATAGACTGATGGATGGATAAATGGCTAAAAAGATCGATGGATGGAACAATAGGTAGATGGATGGATGGATGGATAGATGGATAGACTGATGGATGGATAAATGGATGAAAAGATAGATGGATGGATGGACGGACGGATAAATGGATGGATGGATAGGTGGATGGATGGATGGATGGGTAGATGGAAAGATGGGTGGATAAACTGATGGATGGATAGATTTAAAGATGGATGGATAAATGGATGGATCGATAGACTGATGAATGGAAAGATGGATGGATGGATGGATGGAAAGATGGATGGATGGATGGATGGAAAGATAGATGGATAGATGGATGGATAGCTGGATAGATAAATGGATGAATGAATGGACAGACATAGATGGATGGAGAGAAAGATGGATGGATGGATGAATGGACAGAGAATGATGGATGGAGAGATGATTGGATGGATGGACAGAAAGATGGATGGATGGATGGATGGAAAGATGGATGGATGAATGAACAGACAAAGATGGATGGATGGATGGATGGTTGGATGATGGATGGATTGACAGAAAGATGGATGGACAGAAAGATAGATGGATAGATAAATGGATGGATGGACAGAAGGATAGAAGGACAGATCAATGGATGGACGGACAAGATGGATAGATAGATGGATAGATGGATAGATAGATAGATGGATAGATGGATAGATACTTGGATAGACGGATGGATGGATGGATAGATAGATGATAGATAGATGGATACTTGGATAGATGGATGGATAGATGGATGGATGGATGGATGGATGGATAGATAGATAGATAGCTTTGAAAGTTGTTTACACGACAGTCTCGTACCATATTTGTTTTTCAGCTGTATGTTCTCTTTTCCTAATTGTTGTATATCTGTCCAACACATTTTTATACTGTATTTTGATATACACTGTTGATTACACTGTTTATGATATGGATTTGACTTAATACAAAAAAAAAAACGAACCGGTTCTTTGAACTGTTCAAAAGAACCGATTCGCGGAAACGATTCAGACTCGCCACAACTCGGAACTGCAGTCAGCACGCCATTTGTTTCTAACGTTGTTCTCTGACGCGACGGAACTTGCTTCAAGTTTTCCCGCGAGTCTGGTGTTAGACTCGACTGGTCGGGAGTCCTTCTGGGTTTTATTTCTTGTATGGTTTGCCATAAACATCCACAATGACAGGCGTTTACGAGTCTCCGAAACCCAGAATCAATGCGTCGATGTTGGCTCAGTACATCGGTCGACCAGTCAGCTTCGTCGGACGCTTGGAAAAGGTCAACTATAGTTTACTACCAACACACACAGCCTCACAGTATTAAAAACGAACATTTGTTAGTGCATTTACTGCGTACTGAACCTTCTAACTGTAGAAGGTGAATGATATGTGACAGGAGTGTTTTTAAATAGTATTCAGAATCATATAACGAGCCAATTATTTTCATATTATTCAATATTATTATGCATATTCATAATGCAGTAACAGTATGGTTGTGTATTGACAGGTGCATCCATCAGGAAAGGCTCTTACGCTGTCAGATGGAGAAGGAAAGTCTGCATCGGTGGAGCTCAATGATCCTGTGAGTGATCAGATCAGTATGCTGCAGCTTTCTGTGGGGCTTATTGCTCGTTATTAAGGAGGTACTCTTTCTTCTGCCCCGTTTAGCTGGATGAAGAGCTGAGTGGGATTGTGGAGGTTATTGGGATGGTGTCGAACAAAGGAACACTTATGGCTGTTTCATATGCTCCGTATCGAGAGGACACAATCTCTTTCGGTAGCCATTATTATATTGATTCTGAGTTGTGTTGTTGTGTCACTGCATGCACTGGGATGTGAAGGTTTTCTTTTGTTTTGCAGATCTGGAGCTGTACAATGAAGGCCTGAAAGTTCTCCACGATTTCCCCCAGCGTTACCCGTTTGAGGTGTCGTTAAGTGGTTAAACGCAACACTCGTTTATTTGCCTTTTACAGTTTCTGGAGAATTGGATATTTACTGTGTTTGCAAAAAAAAAAACCGATGTAAACGTTATGTTTTTGTTACTTGAAATAAAGCCTTAAACCCCTGATCGCATTATTGACCATCCATTGACAAAATAAGGTTGGAATTCGTCTACTGAATTACAACATGCATTTTTAAATCAAGAAGCACAGTGTGATTACGAGGCAAAATGTAAGAAATCAAACTTTTTCTATAATTCATCTGTGAAATCTAGCACAGCAATCTCTCATTATGACTAAAATGGATTTGCCTTCATTAAGCCACTTAATTATAATTATTTCTTAAATGTATATTTCCAATTTTACTGATGTATTTGTTCCTAAATAAGGTTTACGTGTTTAAGTTCACATTGACTATGTACACAAATATCAAAAGGATGAGGTGATATGCAAGATTGGTCTACAAGGTTAAATGATAGGAGTGTTATGATGTAGTTTTGTGTTTATATGAGCAGTTTTCTGTATTGTAGAACTCCAAGATGAGCCAATTAAGGCAAGTTATTATGCACATTGCAAGTAACATTGGCGAAAAGTGATCCGTTTTAATGAATGAAGTAATATATTACGCTGGTCTACAGACATTTTTGTTATTATTCCAAATTCTACATTCAAAGGAAATTTAATTTGTTGTTATTTCCAGGTCATTTTATTCAATGCTAGTCTCTGCGCATTTTATTTTGGTCTTTTGCTTATATATTCTACAACTAGATGGCAATAAAGTGAAAAACTAAACTGGTATCTGACAGATTGTGGCTTTTAAGAGTTAAAATGAACTTTTTTTTTTCTCACTAATTTTTACTATTTTTTTTCTGGGTTTCCACACAATAAAATCTATAAACGTAAATATTTTATAAATTACATTTTGCTCACCCTTAGTCTATCCGATATGTATAGCCCAGATGAGTTTGTTTCTTCATCAGAACAGATTTGGAGAAATTTAGCTTTACATCACTTGCTCACCAGTGGATCCTCTGCAGTGAATGGGTGCCGTCAGAATGAGAGTCCAAACAGCTGATAAAAACATCACAATAATCCACAAGTAATCCACAGCACTCCAGTCCATCAATTAACATCTTGTGAAGGGAAAAGTTGCATGTTTCTAATGAACACGTCCATCATTAAGACATTTTAACTTTAAAACATTGCTTCCGGCTAATCCCACTATCCGCAATATTGCTTCCTCCACTGAGAAAGTCTGAATGAGGGAAGAAATATGCACAGATCAAGCACAGTTTACAAGCAAAAAAAACAGTCTAAAACAGTTCTCAATAAATATGTGGGATGATTTTGATGTGAGAGGGCAGCAGGGGATGGACTTTTTATTTTTTATGGGCCAGGTAAGTGAAATTATATTATCTTCCTGTATGTATGTCGTTTTCTTTAAGTTTTCTGACTAAAAGCAACCAAAAAGCCATTTTATAAGCCATAAAGTGGTTAAGCAAATAATAATAATAATAATCGGCAGGGGATCCCAGACCAATACAATTAGTGTGCCCACAATAAAACCCTCGAGCCGCCACTCTCCTGAGGATACATAGGTAGAGTGGTGCCCAAGGTGGAACCGGGGCCTAACCGACTCAAAGAAAGGGCACGAAGCCGCCACGCGTAGCCCCTACCATACAGGATTTTAGAAAGAACGCAAAATGCTTGATGAGCGAACTTACCACAGCGTGGATTTTAGGAAGTGCACAGGTACTTCGTGTGCGCACTTACCATAATATGGATTTTAAAGATACCATTCTAGATAGCCCTCGTGGCACTCTAAAGGAGCAGTCCATAGATGGAAATGGCGCATCCCAAAAACAATACGTCTGAGAAGTCACCAACTCATCCTCATGGTATAATGCTGGAATGGCTAGCAGTAAGTTACCTAGCTGAGGGAGCATAACACCCAGCTCTCAACCGAGAGGGGGCTCGACCTACAGCATGTTCATTAGAAATCCTGAAGGGTAAGCGTACTGCAAGCTTAGCCAAAAACTCAGCGCATCAGGGAGGCAGAGGAAGGGCCTAGTTCGCCTGATGTTGCTGGTTCCAGGTGCTCTGGGAAAACAGAGAACTCAACTCTCCACGTGAGAGGAGAACTCCGAATTCAGAAAAGGGGTAGCGTGCTCATAGGCAACCCTCTAATTTGAGGGGAGCACTGCTAAACACCACCACGAGAACAGCCCACGGAGCGGGGAATTCAACTCCTCAGAAGGGGAGAGAACTCGAACGCTCGGAAGAAAGCACCATGCTCATAAATAACCCTCTACAGTGAGGGGAGCGATGCTTTAAAAACGTATCAACAGAGACACACTAGTTGAGTGGAGCCCAAATCGAGTGGGGCCTAAGCCAACTCTGAGAAAGGGAACGAGGCTGACAACGCGTAACCCTTACCATACAGAATTTTAGAAAGTGCGCAGAGTGCTTAGTGTGCACACTTACCATAGCATGCCTTTAGAAAGATACCGAAGCATCTGCTCACAGATGCCCAGAAGTCCTCAGACACTCAATCGGGAGCGGCAGGCTCAAAGACAACCCTCTGAGGTGAGGGGAGCACTGACTTAGGGAAGCAGGGAAGCAGCAAGCAGCCCAAATACCTGATGTGTCTGCCACAGAGCGACTCATAACTAACCCTTACAGAGAGGGGAGCACTTCTCAGCTCGACCAAAAGGGGGCGCTAGATTAGAAGGGGTAACCCAGCAGGGCCCAATAAGAGACAGTCCACTGGTGCAGCTGGACACGGTCTCATGCTCTCTATCTCGATAGAGAGCGTGGGTCCCGTATAAGCAGAAGATGACAAGGTTGGAAATAGATATGACGTGACCGTTTTCTGAACTGTGTAGTTCAAGGAAACACTCAAAACAAGTAGATACCAGATCCAAAGTCTGGTACACACCTACACATTCTTTATTATTGTTTTTACATTGGAGAATAATCCTAAAGTCATCTTAACTATGCAATAGACAAACTAAAGGGTAAATTAATTGTACTTATTTTGTCTTCTGGGAAACATGTAAGTATCTTCTGAATAGCAGTGCTAAATAAAAAATGTGATATTTAAAAATAAGAAAATTTTACACATCTTCATCCTGTTCAAAAGTCCCTCACCCCCTCTGGAACATCAGTACATGTATGAACCTTTTGTAATAGTTGTGTATAAGTCCCACAATTGTCCTCAGTGTGAAAAGATGGATATCAAAATCATACAGTCACTGCTGGAAAGGGTTCAAATATGCAAAAGATGCTGGAAAACTAAAGAATGTGCAGGCAGGTTAACTGTTCAAGACAAACAAGGGACTCGTGAAAAACCATCACAAAAAAAAAGAGAAGAAAAATAAAATGTTGTGGATCATCTATAACGACACTATTAAGAATCAACCGTATGCATTTTTATAAACTGAGCTATTATTTTGTCTTGTGGACTATTTTTTATGTAAAATATCTTATTCAGGACAGTACTAAAAAATAACATGCATAAATACATGCATATGTGTGTGTGTAGTTCCATCCATAAATAAATAAGCATTTTAGTAATTTTCCATACATGTACAAAAATTATCTACAATTTATATATTTATTACATGCATTTAATTAGAAGCCTATATATATATATATATATATATATATATATATATACTGTATATATATACAGTATATATAG